CATCGAATTCAGAACTAAGTCCCAAGCACAGGCGGCAATCAAAGCAATGGATGGATACACACTTGACAATCATAAATTGCTGGTTAAGGCTTCGCACAAAGGAGCTGATGCTGCCGAGGAGAAAAGGAAAGAGGATAGAGCTAAGAAGTTGGCAGGCAAACGTACAAAACTCATTGTCAAGAATTTACCGTTCGAAGCTTCTAAATCGGATATTCGAAAACTATTTGGTACGTATGGACAGCTTCGATCGGTGCGCATGCCCAAGAAATTCGACCACTCAACACGTGGTTTCGCTTTTGCAGACTTCATTACGGCTCGTGAAGCGGAGAATGCACTAGAGGCTCTCAAGGATACCCATCTTCTTGGCCGTCGTCTGGTAATCGACTTCGCTTCCGAAGAAACTGTTGACGCAGAAGAAGAGATTGAAAAGATGCAGAAGAAAGTCGGATCTCAAGTCAACAAAGTTGCCTTGCAAAATCTTACCGGGGGAGGTCGCAAAAAATTCAATATTGAAGGCAACGATGCGGATCTGGATTGAGGAAACTTATTGTAGGTATTTATCAATAATTCGAATATTCTACTAAGATCAAATTCCCTGGATATATTGTTCGCAAAAATGGCAAGCGTCTATCTCCCTTGCCGAAGCTATATACAAACACTTCAATGGCACCCCTGCACAGGCAACCCTCGATTGAAACCCTTTCACAATTGAATGGAAGGGAAACTATTTACTTGAATCTAATTATTGGTGGTCCGATATTCAGCACTATAGGGATTGTTTGTTGCAGTAAGTTTGAAGGTACTTTTTAAGATCATTTCGTCATCTCATCAAGTTCTCTCCGCCCTCGATGGGCGCCATACAAAGATAAGGATTACCATCATTGTATGTAATGAACATTTACCTCCCCTTTGCTATTTTGCTTGGAGTGTTCATCAAAATTATACTCGTAGGCTCTAGAATATTGGTGCTGAGGAAATTGCATGCTCGCGCAAATGAAGCATTCCTCACGTTGTTGTGACTTTCTCCCCGCAACCTGATTTCCTTACGTCTGTGAGATCAGAGGTGGGGCTATTTTGGTCTTTGAGCTCTGTAAGCTTTGTGGCGTTTGCAAACGTTTACCTGAGCTATCAATGAAGGTAGATCTGGCTGATCCCCATCGAAACAGCCCTGCATCCTAGCCATATACATTCAATCTACTTCGCTTCCTTAATAAGCCGTCAGGGCATCTCCTACTTCATTCTTAATCTGTTGACATTCCCTTGTGCAACTTCCTTCTAAGCTTTCCACTGCCATTCCTCCAAACATTTTTTACTGTAATCTTGATTCTTCGTCGCGCAAATACGCATTTTTTATACACAGCCTACCTCGAATTCGGGTGCAAATGCTTCACTGACTGGAATTTCGAACCCGTCGAAGCATTCTCGAACCTAAGTTACACCATCTAGTCGATGGAAGATCCTCGTAATATTTTACCATCAGGATACACATCGCAACAGCTTCAACTGGACGATTCCAGTGGGCTGTCAAGGCTCAAAGAGCCTCTTTCGGATTCTGCAGGTAACGCTCAGCTTCACGACCTGGCGTCGGAAAGCTTATATCATGATAACAAGAGGCATCACATGAGACGTCAAGAAAGGTCAATGTATTCTATGCCTACTCTGCCATCGCAGCCTCTGCGCCTGCCCGCCGGCAATACCTTGGAACTTCGAAAGCGGCACAACCGGCAACAACGTTTCAATAGACATAGTAACCGCAACCCTATAGTTGATTCGCCTCAGTATCAAGCATACCGAGCTCGAGCGAATCGGGACGGAAATACCCAAGGTGACTCGAAGTGGCCGGTTGTTCTTGAGGATGCATTTCTTGATGGTTAGTAGAGTTATCGTCAATTTGAAATAGCAACTGACAAATCCTAAGCTCTTCTTGCCATTCCTTATATGGGAAGACGGAAATTTTCTTTCAGGGGTAAGCCTCATGGTCGGAATGAGCTCATCAAGGAATATCTTTGGATAGCATACAAGAATACACTTCCTCCGGGGCAGCGTCCGGATCCAACTATGATGCGTACAAGGAAGCAGGTCTCTAGTCACATTCAGGTTCTGAAAGGGTTCCTAACTCCTCATCCTGCACTATGTGAGAAGTCTATAGCGAGATGTCTGAAATGTAGTCTAACGCTTCTTAGATCAGCGTCTCTTTCCTCCGAATAAGGGTCCTAAGAATGGTTTCGAGGATTCATTTAAAAAGGACCCTACACTTATAGCACTCTCGCAAGGTCGGCTACCTAGTAAACGCCACGATCAATATGATGCACTCAATCAAATAATACTCAGTAATCATCATCCTATGAAGCCTGCTGCTTTTTGGTTGCTCATGACACCATTTGCTGTACCAAATGAACGAAACGGGGTCATGAAAACCGAACAAGATCTTCGAAGAGATGGTCTAGTACTCCATAGATACTCGGGTTTGTCGTCATCGAAGCCCCGCGGAAGTCTCGAATCAATCCTTCACTGGCGACAAAAGTTCCCTCACTTGGCACAATTGCATTCTACAAACGATCTGAACTGTGATATCATTCATATGGATGTGTCGTTGGATCTAATGAAAACTCACGCTCCGGATAATAGTGAGCTGTTGACTCGCATGGAGGTGTCCATACCTGGCAAGGATTTTGCTGGGTCTAATTGGCAGTCTGTAACGAGTTTAATTAAACCCGCGGATTTATACGGTGACCCTGTCAGAGATCCTGTGTTAGAAGGCACGGCGTTGCCAATGACTGTCCTTGGAATGTCTGACAGCGAGACCCGAATCAAAGTCGCCATACCTGCTGAGACTTGGGCATACACATTCACGCAACTCATGAACCTTCATTTTGAGATTGAAAAGAAACGTCTTCCACAATCGTATGGTGGGAATGGGTTAAGTCATTCTTCAAACTCTATTCGGGGATACGTTGATCAAATTTCAATGTATCAAGAACTACAGTCTTCAGCCGGGGAACGAATGCCATTTATCCGGCGAGCCATTCTTATCTGGACATTTCATAAAGCTCGTATTGGAGAGGGAAATGATACCACCTGGCGATATGTCGACCCCGCTCCACCACGCCACATGTGCATGTCACCACCGCCACACCCTCACCAGAATCTTCCCAATCTCGAACACTTTAATTCCTGGCCAGAATCACCTCTTCATCTCCAGCAACCTAATCTTCTTGACTCCTTTGTTCAGGGCCTTGCTACACCTCCGCACACAGCTAGTCTTCAATCTCCCTTCGATACAGCGGGCTATACATATCCTGCTCAGCATTACGACATGTCTAACGAGAACATTAGTTTCGTGTCTCATGCAACTGTCGACAGCGAATCAACACTAGTAAACGAAACCGATCCTACGAATCAAATCGATAATTTCATAAACAATTCCGCAGGGGTTAATATGGGAGCTTATGGGGATATGAGCGGCCATTATTATGGCCATATACCTGTCAATACTGTCAATGCTAATGAATCCTTCGACGCGGATCCTGCGTGGGCAAATTATTCCGTGCCGGCTAGTACCCCTTGGGAACAAAGTGAGGAAAATAAGGGGTTGGCTTGGCCAGATACAAGTACACATATTGAACCTTCCAATAAACACGCTTGGAACAATGATACACAAGAGGAGAAACAAACACAGAGCACATGGAATGGAGATGATATTGATGTCAATGGTGTAAGTGTTGACGGGAGGGACAACATGACGGGTAAACATGCGAATGAGATGCCTTGGTCAGATGTGGTGATGAGTAGTAGTCCCAACAAACAAAATGGAAATGAATATATTGAGAGTAACATTGAGTCAAAATTGTTACCATGGATTGAGCAGGCCACTGCAGAAGAAGAAGCACAGGCACAAGCTAGGAGAAATGCGGTGGACTACGGGAACGGTGTTGAAGCTGTGGATGTGAGTGCGGGTGTTGGTACAGATATTGGAGTTGATGTTTCCGGTGTGGAAGTGCAGATGGAAGAGGAAATTTCCCCAGAGGATGTCAGTGAGCGTGAAGATAACATTACAAAAGAGGAACAATTCGAGCATCACGATCACGATACGTATAGGGATCATCATGTGCATCATGGACACCATCAGCACGACCAATTGGAGCAAACAGAATGGCCACGTAACGACGAAATTAATAGCGCTGGGGTCAACGTCGGACATTCTAATGGATACGATTTCGAACATTTGGAAGAGAGCGTATCGGTAAAATCCTAACTCTAAAATGATTCAGCATCATGCTGTCCAATTTTTTGTAACAAAAATGTTCATTTGGAACTTCCTTTTTTTTCTCTCGGGCAGGCAGTGGTTTGAGTCGGTTTGTTGCAATGTGGAAACTTTTTTCTTGGGATCTAGCTTTTTTCGAGTTCATTCATTCACTTACTTACTTCTATCTACAAATAGTTTTTAATATCCATTTATTCATTTGCTTCCACTTGCTTTCGTTGATGCATGATAAAAAATTCAATTTTGAATGTAATTTCCTGGACTCGTCCGTATTTGGTGAGGCCAGGAGGTTGCTTTGAGGTGAGGTTTGGAAGGGGCGTGTATTGCCTTGCTTGGTGTTGCTGACCTCGCTTCGGTTGGGTTTACTTATTATCCCTTTACCTGGAGTGATTATCGTTAGTCCACCTTGTAGAATTAACTCTTTTGGTGGGCAATTGAGTGTTTGGTTCCGGCAATGCTCATAACGAGGTGAGATGTGTTAGGGTGATAAATTTGTGTATAATATGATATTTTCTACTCTGGTTCTACCTTCAAGGCGAGGTCGAAATATCTGAAATTGTTTCTCACAATCGGGAAGGGGCAGACTTCAATTGAACATGCAGGTGCAGCCTATTCATACTATCATATACTTTCCACGAGTTTATCTTCTCCCAATGACAACAACGTCGACCATAAATCCCTCCTCAATATATTCCAAACCACAAACTTACGCATCAATAACTGTATCAATTCACAGACAAACATTTCTTCGCAATGGACGTACAAATCTTCCTTAAAGTCCTTTGCGACAAAGGCACCCGCCCACCATTCAACTATTCCGAAAGGTATATTCGAAACACATTCTTTGTTTACATCGAAGAGGGAAATCGCCTTGAAGGAGCTTCGTTAGAACAAGAAGCCGAGGCAGTAAGTCTCTGGACTTGGGAAGATTTGTGTAAGTGTCTGAGGCGATGGAGATGTGAGGTTATAAGCTTAATTGATGATACAGTCGGAAAAGAACCGTATCCGGAACCGACATGGTTGGCTAAGAGGGGACGTCGTTCCTCTGGACCGAAGCTGGAAAAGAAGACCGGCATGCCATCTTCTGTCGCTGTGCCGAGGAATCCTTCGTGGATGTCGAGGGTAGAGGTTTTGAAGACTGGGATGGGTGTATGGCATTATTTGGGCCTTGTGAGTATGGGAGTGCTTTTGGGTGGAATTTCTAGAAGTTCTCGTGTGAGAGGTTTCGTTGGTCAGTGGGTTAATTGGGGATTTGGTAGATAGGATGTGAATGGGCATTCTTTTAATGGATGAAGAGTTGTTTTATAATAGTCGGGTGGAAATACGCAGGCTTTGGATTGAATCGAGAACTGATGGCTTGAATCTCGTAGTTTTAGGTGGATACTGTGAGAGAGTCGACGTTTTTGTATGAGTTCAGATGTTACTATGCTCTATAGCGTGGTTCAACCAGCGTTCAAGTGTGTATCAGGTAGAATCGGAGGATCGTGTCGGCTGTTCAAAAAGTAGTATTAGACTAGTTACAGCATCCCATTAAAGAAATAGCAGGCATTTCTTCGCTATATCATTACTCTGATATCTGCTATACATGTGCTTGCATAATCTCTATGTGCTCTTTCTTCTCAAAATTATTCCAAAAGAGAAACCATCCGCCTATATAGATACGTATTCACCGGTAGTCAGCTCCTTAATCAGACACCTCATCGAGCCGCCAAGGCGCAATTTTTCAACCACTACATCGGCCCCATTTTTGTTTGGTAGACTGCTTTATTCGTCATGATTCATGGCAGTCATATCCACGAATCGTGATTCGCAGCTGTACAATTAGAATCTCGTATTAAAGCGACTCCTCTAGGCAACATGTTGTTACCGTTCTGAATTTTGCTTCTTCTTTTTCTTTGTGTGGACGCGAAAGGTGAGAGGAAGCGAGATTTGTGATTGGAACGGCTCTCCCGCCAGCATTCATGTACCCATTCTGAACATTTGAATCCAACTCTCTAACTTCCAAAGGTGAATTGATCGCTTGAGGCTGGATTTTACTTTTGCACACTACAAAACTTCTCAACTTTTCACATCAAACAATTCAAACCCCAAGATCACAAACTCATTAATCGACTATCGATCTATCACAATGGAAGTCTACAAAAGTGTTTACAATTTGATGCTCTCCAAGGCAATCAGCTACGGCTATGTTGAACAACAAGTCCTTGCTATCCTAACTGAAAGTCATGATCGGGTCGAACTGAGCATGTTCAAAAATATTCCAGATGCCGAGAGATATTGGATGGCAGAGCGATGGACCTGGGAGACACTTTGTTAGTATTTCTTGCTCGATCAAGTGAGTGAAGATACTAATGTTTTCGCAGTTGCCGATGAGTTGGCTGAATTTCCAGGAGAGAAACCCGAATGGAAGAGAGTGACCAATTATTTGAAGCACAAATCACCCGTGGCTGGGGAAACACCGGAAAACGCTCAAGTCGAAGCCAGTGATTCATCCACATCGCCAAATCCCAAACTTAGAAATTGCCTTGCTACGCGACCACAGATCCTGGGCGACAAGACCTCTGAAGTTAAAGCTTCTGTGCCAAAAAGAATTATTTGCGTCGATGCATCTCCCGAGGTATCTAGCGGCAAGCAAGCTCCAAAATCAGCAACCAAACTGCCATCAACTTCACCAACATCGTCTCCATCAGAGAGGGAGTCAAACAAACGACAGAAGCTCATAGAAAACTCTGAACTCGCCAATAAGAAGGATCCCAATCTTCCCGGAGGAATCTCAACCACAGACTCTCCACTTACTGATCGAAAACGCTAGAGGAAAGCGCCAGCCCCTAAAAGTAACAGAACATCGGAGACCGATGTGCAAGAAGTTCGGTGCACTTCAACCATTCAGGGAACTATTTCGAGGACGTAACTGAGGATGGGACTGAGGGTAATTTAGCAAGTGAGTATCAATGGAAGATTGATTGGGGAGAGGTTTTCATTTCGATCTACTCTTTGTTTGACGGGGAGTAAATGATATCGGGTACGCATCGGGCGATCATGGAGTCACTTGACTTATATTAATGCAATTGATTGGATCACAAGAGTTCATGGCATCGATATCACAGTGCTAAATGACAAAAGAGTCTAGAGACTGGTCATTTAGACCTTAGCATATGTAATGCGCAGACTTATACAGATATAGGATAAGACTGCTTCCTGCGTTGAAGAGAACACTGCCTTCCGTTTGTGCCAAGTAGTGTGTCCCTTTGCTCAATATGGATGCATTCATAACGGCGAGCTTGTGAGACCGATGTAAAGGAACAATTCATCTGGTGTTTGATAATACATGCGTTATCTAGAATAACAATAGTTCCATCACTAGATCATGTAATAATATTTTGAGCTTTTGTGAGGATCCAGAGACGAGCTAGCTATCTCCTACTTGAAGGTATGCAATCGGGCACTCCGCACGTTGAGTTTGTATCAAACGTCAAGAAGTCCGCCGAGGATGACGACCAATTCGAACTCGTTTTGGTGTGCGGATCTTATGTGTTTGGCAAAACTTACCGAGGGCGAACATGGAGTTCGTGTTGAACAAGAGATCAATAACTGGATACATTTCCAACCATACTTACAACCCATTTTAAGAAAATCTGAAAAGAAAAATGGACATCACAGGTTGGTAATTTGGGGGCAGTCAAAGGAAGCGAAGGGGGTGTCATTAGTGATTGCACATGCCACGAGTCACCCTTGTAACAATTAGTGGACACTGCAACTAAGGCCACTCCGCTTTAATTCTTTCATCATCATAAGGCTGAAAAGGCCAATCTGGCATTTGCTTTCAAACTTCAGTGCATTGTTCAAATTCGATGTTCGACGACCGAATTGCGACACAATCAGCAATTTAAGTGGAACACTACCTAGAGCTTCGAAATTCCGATCTGAACGTCGCTATGCTCTCTACCGGATTCACAGATGTGCCAGTAACGCGCAGCCTTGTCTATGGGGTTGTCGTAACCTCACTCCTCGCCAGTATCACAGATTCCAAGCATTTTTTCTATATACAAGCGGATCCTCATCTGCTACGATACCATCAACTATGGCGGATGCTCAGTTATCAATTATGCTATACCAATTCAACAGAAGTATTCTTTGGTGCGATAACATACTATAACATGAGAGTGGTGGAAAGATTATGGGGATCTCGTAGATTTGCTGTGAGTGGCTCATTCTTCTATCTTACGTGAATTTCTGCTGAAAATAAGCTTCTAGTCTTTCTTGATATTATCGTTCTGCTTCACCTCGATCATATCGCCAATCTTGCTCATCCTTCTACGACCCCTTTCCCTCTACGCGATAAATTACCTACCCGCAGGACCAACGGCTCTTATATTTGCTATTCTAGCCCAATATCATGCCGTTATTCCGCATCAATATAAATACAAAGTTGCAGCTACCTCTGCACCTATGATCGAGGAGAACTTCGTAGGAGTTACATTCTCGGATAAATCATATATATATCTCCCCGCTATCCAACTGGGTCTTTCCCAATTTCCGGGCTCACTGATATCTGCTATGGTTGGCTGGATTATTGGTTATTGCTGGCGAAACGATGTGCTACCTACAGCTCTCACGCGATGGAGATTACCAGGTTGGATGGTGGGCGTTCAGGTCAAGAAGAGAAGTGAAGGATTTGAAGGAATGAGGAGGAGATTGGAGGGAGAAAATACAGCAGCTGCTACCGGATCGGATGGTCAGTCGGGCGGAGAAGTTGGGAGAAGGAGAACTCTGGCGAATCAATTTATTGACCAATTTAGAGGGGCGCCATGATGCTCTGTTTAATTTAAAAAATCTTGATGAATTTACATTACATCCATTCATGCTTCAAGGATATTCGAACTACCGTCAAGCTGTTGATAAGCAGATCACAAAAATCTGTGACCCATCATATGCTCCCGTCTGTGCAGCTTCAACCAAAAGCTTGATATTGACCATTAGCAGGGCTTTCACAAAGACTCTAAGAACAGAATTATAGTACCGCGAAAGACACTCCATTCTCTAATAAGAGGCTGTCAGACGAAGACGGAAAGGATAAGTCGAAACCCACCGTCATGGAAGCATTCTCAATATGCACCGGTTCTAAGCTCTGACTCTAGCTCTGATTTGAATCTGATCATGCAATCTATTAATGTGCAACAAGCATGCAAAATTATGGGTGCTAAAACTCACTATAGCTAGTGCAGTATCAAACACACACACCGGCATCTTCAGCGCACAACATGGTGTTGCTGAGTGAGACCAGCAACAACCTTTCGAACAAGCGCAACATCGCGATAACATTCACCACAAGGCATTGGGTCGCTAGAGTAGCGAGTGTACTAATTTACCACTGCGGGATGAAAGTCAAGATTAACATAGCCTTATTAGGCACGAGTCCAACCTCCTTCGAGATTTGGGTGCACAAAATGTCCTCTTCATTGCTTCGCGCATTATACTTCAGGCCTCACTCTTTAGCTTTTATGCATTTCAATATTCTCAAAGGGTTTATTTTGCAATACATTCAACTCTTCACAGAATTACAAGGGCTGTAGAATTAGCATTTTACTATTTATACCTTCAGCTCAGACCAATTCGCTAAATATGGCGCTCTGAATGGAGAAGCGATATCAGTTGTTGCGCGAAGTAGTGACTCCGGCGTTCCAGTTGCTATACCTGACAGGCGACCAGTGTCAGAGGACCGATAGTGATATTGTCGGGTGCGAAGGTTATTAGATTGGGATTGTGTATCTCAGATGAGCAATTAGCAACAAGATGCGTATATGAATAAGTACGGACACTATGAATGTTGCAGACATTGCGAGTGGAAACAATGTTAATACGCAAAAGGAGGAAAACAATAGAACTCTATGCATGTTTGCGAGGTAGGTCGCGGCATGGTATGAATTGGTGTCAGGGATTTCTCACCATCGTCACAAAAATTGGAATCTAGTATTAAAGCTTTGAACCCTTTCAAATCCAGTCTATTTCCCTCATTAATAAGGTCGATGATGTGGTGCTCGGTTCCTTTTTCGGTCAATCGCGACCAGATCTACTTGCGGGGTATCTCTACCATGTGGGGCCCCGCGAATACGCAATTTCTCGTCACGCTCATCATACTATAATGAAGTCTTATCACACCGCTAATAGTAACGGCTGTTCATCGTTGGATCAGTAAACAATAAACATGGATTGCGGTAACTTAAAAAGGTGAAAGGAGCTGCCTAGCTCAACGAAAGAGGCGGAGTGCATGAATAGCTGATCATGCGGATCTAACATGAACTACTGCATAGATACTATAATATGCCCATCAAGGTGAGAATCGATTGAACCAAAGCTATGACCTTTCATGGATTGATTTTATGTGACCGATGAGAGAAACGACTTGTCCGGTTAATCTCCCCATATCCTCGAGGAAACAGCTTTCCTTGAACAGATTCTTATCGTCTTGTATCATCCATGTTCCCGGACAACCAATTAAAACATGAGCAACTATTCAAGATTGTCGGACCTAGCGGCCCAAATCCAAGCATCAACTGATACTGTTGACAAGTATCTCAAAGACCATAATCTGCCGGCTCCATCCTTTCACGAAGATGGTCCTGTGGATTTTGGGCTGAATGACGAAGCTCAAAGGGCTCTAGAAACAGCAAAAACTTCTAGTCTTGAGCTATTTGATCTACTTCAGGGCCCAGCTGTTGCTCTTCGACCAGTGGTAAGTCTTTACTCTAGCTATCTTTAAAGACTCTACAGAAGTGTGACTAATTTTCTTTCACCAGTATAACGGGGTGAGCCTCCAAGCAATATATCGTTATGATATTGCCTCCAAAGTACCCATAAATGGAGAAATTTCATATCAAGATCTCTCTGAAAAGTGTGGGCTTAGTGTCATCAACTTGCAAAGAATTCTACGTTTTGCTATGGTCTCGAATCGTTGCTTTACAGAGCCACGCAAGGGTTTTGTGGCTCACTCAGCAGCGTCTAGGGTTCTCGTTGATAACCCTATGGCGCGTTCAGGCCTCGGCTTCATGTTCGATGAGTGCTGGCAAGCTTTTGCTCATGTAGGCAGAATTCCAAGTCTTCAGCGTCTATCATTAACCATTTTTAGACGCTCGATTCTGTCAGAGATCATGGAGAGACTGAAGATGTTGCTAAAACAGTAGGTTATCTCAACCATATGGATGGCCAATTTAGACTAACTACTTCAGGGCTGGAGTCATTATCACAAAACTGACCAGGGTCTGTTCGAAAATCATTCAAGTCGTTCAGAGATGTCCCGTCGTATGGCCGAAGCTATGATATGTTTTAGCAGCGCTGTATCAGTATCATCCCAAGCATACTTTTTGGTCAAGAACTATCCCTGGAATACTGTTGCTAAAGTTGTCGATGTTGGAGGAGCACAAGGTCACATTTCTATCGAACTGGCACAAAGCTATCCCAACTTAAAAGTTGTTCTCCAAGACTTGCCGGACGTTGTTGAGGGAATTGATAAAACTTTACCAAAGAACGTAAAAGACAGGATCGAAATCATCGCGCACGATTTCTTCACCGATCAAACCATTCAAGCCGACGCATATTTATTCAGCCAAATATTTCATGATTGGCCAGAGGCTCATTGCATCAAGATACTCCGAGCATTGATTCCACAGTTGAAACCTGGTGCTCGAGTCATTTGCTATGACCATCTACTTCCAGAGCCTGGGACAATACCCTTGCTTAGAGAACAAGCTGCGAGGTATGCTTATAACTCGGTTTCTTTACCTGTTCGGTTTGTAATTGCAAGTTCTTCGTGATAGATCTAACAGTAAAATAGGGGTATGGATATGATTATGCTTTCTCTCTTCAACTCTCGCGAGCGCGATTCCGATGATTGGGCTACCTTGTTCCAAGCTGCCGATCCTCGTTTTAGGAAGCCAAAAGCGTGGATTCCAGAAGGTAGCAGTTTAGGCATCAATGAAGCGGTATGGGAGGGAGGTAGTAAAGGCGTACAAGAATAATTATCAGTCTCCATTATGCTTGGATGCAATAATGCCTACAACTAGATATTCTCAAAGCTAATGGACCTGCCGGTTTCACATAACTATCAATAGTATCAGAAGATAGATATAAGATAGAGTACACTATAAAACGAACCTTGCAATTTAGAAAACTAGTAGGTACATAGCAAAGAATGCTCCAAGATACCATAGGATAATAAAGGTATCTGCAATTATCTGTGTACTATTTAGTTTCATAGGCTGCCTCGTGTGCTAGCTTGACTGCATCGTTTTCCTTTTGGTGCGAACTGACTCATTGTATTTCTTAAGTTTGCAATAACAGAAAATTCAAATAAACCCCATAATTTTCAGGTAAAATTCCAAGGAATGCTAATTCATCATTCTTTGCGTGCTTAAGCGAGGTCTTAGAGGCGTTGATTCTTGGCGTGATTCTTGTAACGCACCCAACTCCCCAACCGTTTTATTCCAATTGTCACTCATTGCAAATAACTCGGCCAGCTTCAAGATCTCTTGCATCATGATACTTACCTCTTCTGCACTTGGCTGCGCTTCATCCCATGTCAAATTGATGGACAAAGTTGTCTCATTCAACATAAAACATTTCCACCGGCAACCCAGATCAGCTCTAGTCTCCATCTGCACAGGAGTGATAAGTGAGAAGTATCTGTTCGCTTTGGAGGCGTAATAGCATATTAATCACCTTTTCTTCTGCTTCAACCTGAGTCTTGACCACGGTAATGTCAAAAGTTGGGCCGTGACGTCCATCGCTGGTGGCATACTGTTAACTTGCCAGTCTAGCATGATAGGCCAAGTACGGCTTCCAAGCACTTGTCTATATATGGCATATGGCTGCTGTGTATTCAAAACTGTGAGTACTGCTAATGCGGTTCTTACTATTTGGGATCGCTCGATCTTATGCTGCAATTTCAAATCTCTAATATCCTTCAATGTTATGAGGCCATTAATGCCTTTAACTCCCATGCCATGAGGTGCGAGCGATTTCCGAGGGATACCGGGCTTGCCAGTATCATCAATCCAGCCATTCGAAGGCCCCAAGAACCATTGGGGTGCGCGCAGTGCTGGGAACAATGCTGCAGGATGCTTGGAAATGCCTCTGAGTCGAGACAAATGCCAATCTACGGATGCTTTGGCGATGGAGGAATTGGGGTCGATCCAATATTTGCAGCAGTTGTGAGGCGTGAATTCGCGTAATGAAAATCGGCCCCCATCGAGGAGGCTTTAAATAATGAAATGTGGGGGCTAATGATGCATGACCCCCACGACTATATGCAGAAATTGCCTGCAAAAGTTGGTGACTGCCCACTACAATATTCGTGACCGGTCAGCTCACAGTTCTGGGCAATTTTTAATGAGGCACAGTATACATTTTAGGGGTTATGCGTGCCATTGAGTGGCTGCGCCGTTCCATTGTGTGACCAATAGGATCGAATAGAGGAACTTCCCCAAATAAATTGCGCGACTATGATATTTACCGGCTTACAGTTTTCAACCTCACATACAAACGAGTACCTAGATAATGTGTGATCCCTTTCTAACTGCAAGGTCTTCTTTGCAAAAAGTTTTCGTGCCATGAAGTGCAAGAAAGCGAATATAGAAATGATGTACGAGTCAAGCAAGCTTTGGTTCGTTGCGCAAGGTAAAATGCGAATGCAACATGTTTACATTGTGTAGGTAGTATGTATCGCTGTCGACCTATCAACAACATGTGGGACATGTCCTCATTTTTGTAATATCTCTTATACCTAACATTTTCCATTTACTTCCTTCCCTTCAAAGCTGAGCCGATAGAGGGAAGTAAATGAATTGACTCTATAAAACGAAATTGCTTAAATAGGTTTATCTTTTCATGCTAGGTCTATCGACAACACCCGAGGCGACGAGTAGAACTTTAACTATAAAGCCATAACGCAATGCACCTCTATCAAGGCGATCAATTTCTTTACAAGGTTGCAGGTATATATATGATAAATTCATGGCTGCATGAATACCTACATAAAGAGCTTTGCTGCACATCGTGTTAGCCGGATCAATCAGAAGATATCTCAAAATTCATTTTCGTTATACCAGAAACACCACCCTGCAAGGATACGTATGGTATCCCTTTATTCTATGTTTGTTTTCGTGTTTGTTGCTCGGATCCAACGGAACTGCGGCATATGCTCTATATTCGCTATCACACCAAAGACATCCTTTATTCTTTGATACGAGAGAGGGCGAGGACGGGAGTCAGGAGATTAGGTGAAATGCCTACCCTTCTATGCAGGTTCTGTTTGTTCTTCATGAATTTTGTTGTCAGCGCCGAATTCTAAGAAATTGCCTCCTTTTTCTAATTCGACAAACGAAGAAGCAATAGATAACATGGCACAAACTAGAATTGCGGAACTGGCCTCGATCATTTCGACTCAAACAACAATTTTTGACGAGTACCTCCAGTCTCATGGAATCGCCTCGCCATCCTTTGATGTGAATTATAGCGAGACGCCTCAGATTCCTAAGGAAATTTCAGCCTCAAAAAACATTATTTTTGAGGCAACCGAAGAATTGAACAGTCTCATAGGGGGTCCTGTGGGAGTCCTCACCTCCATGAATGTTGGTGAATTCTCAATTCAAAGATCAGCACTTGCTAATCAACCAAGATTACGATTTTGCCAACACTTCACGCGATATATCGATGGAAGTTAGCATCAAGTTTTCCACTCCATGGAGAAGCATCTTTCTCTGAGGTTGCTGACACGGTCGGGGTACCTGAAGCGGATATTCGGCGTATCATCCGAATGGCCAAGTCTCATCGCCGATCTGGCAATGCCGAGTGCTGCCTTCGTCGTGGAAGTCTTCAAGGACCATGATTGCATCGAATCTCTGGGACTAGTTTATGTTCCCCATGATGCTTGTACCACGGATATCGGCGGCTTCTCATCATTTACAGTAACCGATCACAAAGTCGCCAAGCAAATCGGACACTTTCTTGCATCGAACCTTTGTACTGGTAGTGCCATCGGCAACATACTAATCGAGGATCTCTTATTAAAGAGTCACGCCTGCATCGACGTTGGCCAGGATATAGTAATATACGCAACATTATCTAATTCGTCCAAAACGTGATGAGGGGCACTTACTGTAAGTCTACTCAACTTCTTCACTTAACTCTCGCTTAGAGTGGCTATGGTGGCTAATGACATAAATTCTGGGTAGATGTAGGAGTAGAGGTAAAGATCCGGTGAAAAGAAATAGGAGTTTTCAACAATGGACCGATGTGGTCGCTTATTGACCCCTTTATAATTGTCTTCTTCTGTTCTGCTTCTATCAACTTCTTCCTTCCTATGAGGGCAGGGGTGGTGTTGTATGTGAATTGTTCTTTTTACTTGCAAAGAGTGTATCTTGTCCCCAAAAACATGAATCGATACGAACCGGTTCGCACGAACAATATAGCGAAGGCCAAATACTGCAGCAATTCCATTGAATGTGATTATTTCCAGGCTTAAATCCGTTTGTTTCCCTATTGCCTAGACGCAAGACGTAAGACGTAAGATTTAAAGACCGAGTAGATTTTTGTTTGGAACGAGTTCGAGTAATAAAGATCTATCACATGTTCCAAAGTTGTATCACAAAATTGGAAGTAAGCTGATTGCGTGACCTAAGTTGGATTTTTACGAATGACCTTTTAGCTCGTGAAAGCCAACTGCCATACATTTTCTTGCTAAGAGTGAAGGTTCGATGAGTCTATCACCATATTCATTCCCCAGTGGATCGAAGACGTAAGTGAGCCAGTAAATCTTGACTATCATGTTCTTCCTCCAAGCCCAATTCTCCCACCTTCTTCCAAAATTTACTCAAATGTCTCGTTCCGCTATCACAAAGGATAGTAACCACCGTGCTTCCCTTCTCTAACTTCAACGCTGTTGCTACAGCCGCCACACAATTGACAGCACTGCTACTCCCAACAAAAATACCATCCTTCTCTACCAACCACCTCGCCATTTTGAGTGCTTGCAAGTCTGTCACCTTTACGGCATCATCGATGATTTCTCGCCCCGCTTCGAAGTTCTCTGTTAATCGATTGATTCCGATCCCTTCGACAATAGTATCAACCTGCTGCCGACGTCTTGTGCCTTCTTTCTCGGTTGGAGAGAACATGACACCATGTTTAACTTTATTGTAAAGGCCACTTCCCTCTGGATCTGCAAGTACGACTTTAAGATCTTGTCCCATAAGTTGCTCTTGTTTTAAGTAGAGTGCTACACCTGAGATGGTCCCTCCTGTCCCAGCGCCAGCCACAAATGCATCGATCTAAACGTCGTTAGCTAAATTGTCTGTGAAATTCCGGAGGTTTGGTTGCTTACATCACCTCCTGTCTGGGCATAAATCTCAGGTCCTGTAGATTGAAAATGTGCCCGGTAATTCGCACGAGACTCAAATTGATCAGCAAAGAACCCTCTACTAGAATCTATTTTAGAGGCCGTGTGTTCCTTCGCTCTCCGTCTTGCAAGGTTGACGAAATGTTCAGTAGAAGTAATAGGTGCTGGGGTGACTCTTTCAACTGTGGCTCCCAAATGATGCAGAAGATCCGACTTCTCTGTGCTCTGGTCATTGGGCATGCATATGTATGCTTTATAACCTCTGGCACGTGCTAAAGTTGCAAGTGAAATGCCAGTTGATCCAACCGTGCCTTCATAAATAGTGTCACCTCGGCCAGGTTTCAGGAATCCTTCTTCTTCTGCCATCATAATCATATTCAATGCTACTCTATCTTTGGGACTTCCTCCTCCCCCATTCAAGAACTCCGCTTTTGCAAGAATAGTGCATCCTGTTGCATCGGAAAGACTCTTGATTTTGAACAATGGTGTATTTCCAATACATCCTTCTATTCCTTCTGGGATTAGAGGTTTCGGCAATCCGACAACTGATTTCCGAGTACGGTCTTCTAGCCTTAGTGGAGGTAGATTAGAGCCAACCGGTCTCAGATCAGATGAAGATGAATCAGATGCAATGATTCCAGTCCCAGTTCCAGTTCCCTTTTGCCGTCTTTGATATCTTCGTTCCAAATCAGGATAAAAATCCTTGAAACCCAATGTCAACAGAACTCCTGCGACGAATGCAACTGCAACTGCTGCAGAACCATATGCCTTGGGGTGGTTACTCAGAGACATTATATCCTCGATATTCTCATCATCATTATTTCAACCATGAGTCGTGAATGAAATCATTTTGTTGACGATGTCATTTTTTACAGATCAACTATTTCAATATCCTTGCAAAACTTTGCGGAAGAAGCTTGGACCAACCAGAACTCAACATTGCGACAGAGGTCCCCCAAGAAAGACACAGAAGAATTTAAACACTTCTGTCGATGGACTCCCCAATTGTGGCGCAACTGTTTCGGCAGCTATTCCGACACAAGAACTGTGAGGTCTTGCGATCTCATTCTTCGTTGTCTCCTCGAGTATGGAATGGCCATGATTCGCAGTTGAGATGTTTGTCGACCACAAGTAGGAGGGGCAGAGGGGTGAAGGAGACAAGCAAGAATGAAAGCCATTGGCAGCAGAGAACGGATATCTTTCCGATAGATATGATGGAGGAATTCAATAAGTATCCTATGGTTACAGCGGATCAGTTGCGGGGGAGGAGAGAAAGACCAAGGCGTGTGAAGATGCTCACACGAGATTTCATCGAAGGTATTCACATTCTAGTCGTTAATATACTGTGTGATCTTCTGACATGTTCCGCAGATAGTTTATACAATCCGTCTTATGGATACTTCTCCAAGCAAGTCGTTATCTTTACTCCTGGCGAACCTTTCGACTTTAACTCCCTCGAAGATGAACCAGCCTTTCACCGTCTCCTGGGACAACGATACACCGAGTTCGAGGACGAGTTGGATCTCAAGTCTCCTAATGAAACTCGCCAATTATGGCATACGCCAACAGAGCTCTTCAGACCCTACTATGGTGAAGCTATAGCCCGGTATTTGATCAATAATTACAAAATATCGCAGTACCCATACCACGACCTCATAATCTACGAAATGGGTGCTGGAAATGGTACTCTTATGCTCAATATACTCGACTATATTCGTGCCACAGAACCTGAGGTCTACGCCCGTACAAAGTTCAAGATCATTGAGATATCCAGCAACCTCGCATCGCTACAAAAGTCGCACCTGTTACGGAATGCCAATTCTCGAGGACACTCGTCTAAAGTTGAGATTATTAACAAATCAGTTTTCGAATGGAACCAGATAGTTCCCTCACCATGTTTCTTCCTCGCCATGGAAGTTTTCGACAACTTTGCTCACGACTCTATTCGATACGACCCTGTTACTGAAGAGCCTCTTCAGGGTACAGTCTTGATATCCAACACTGGCGACTTTTACGAATTCTACACTCCCACCATCGATCCGATAGCATCTAGATTCCTTCGCGTACGACACGCTGCTACCAATGGAAAATACCCACACCCCCTTCCGCAGAACAAATTAGTGAAGACTTTGAGGAACAATATGCCATTCGCTCCGAATCTCAGTCAGCCGGAATATATACCCACGAGACTAATGCAGTTCTTCGATATTCTGGCCAAGTATTTCCCGGCGCATAGATTAGTAACAAGTGATTTTCATTCGCTGCCGGACACGATCAAGGGAGTCAATGCACCGGTTGTACAAACGAGATATAAAAGAAGAACAGTCCCTGTTACGACGCCTTTTGTGAGCATCAATATTCCTTGTCCCTTTCATCGTTGCTAATGGCATATAGGTGCATCAAGGATACTTTGACATACTGTTCCCTACTGACTTCGCTGTTATGGATAACGTGTACAGAGCCATCACGGGAAAGTTCACACAAGTATTATCACATGAAGAATTTTTGAACCGATGGGCTTATGTGGAACAGACGGAGACCAAGAACGGGGAGAATCCTCTCTTGACGTGGTATAAGAATGCCAGTGTTCTTACCACTGTATGAAAATAAAATACCAAGTAAATGTGCACATTATAAGATTTCCTTTCAGCGCATGAGTTTTGATAATTGCTGATCTTCTATCCGTGATATGTGACAACCAATCTTTTCTAGCTGGCCACTGTACACCCTTCCTTATTGGACAAAAAACCAGAAAGAGATCATGAGAAAGGTACACGCCCTGCAGAGTAGAAGCTAATGATGCTACAGCAATAGAAGCCCCACCTTACTACTCCAACATCAGCGAGCTTAAGCTCATAGGTATAAATATATTCGCGAAAAGCAGCCCAATAACTCCAGTTTTACATCATTCTGTCGCATGTCTTGATTTATTTCACCTTATCGTGTCAGCACACATGTAGAAGTTTGCAATTTCTTTCTTCAAATCCCAAACCCTTTGCAGAACTTTTGCTCGCTCACAGGAATTCATCTCAAGCATGAATTTGAATTTGCTCTTGCCTTCTTTTAAGTTGAGCATGTTCCATTCCTCCTTGAGCTTTGTTTGTGTAGCGCCTAGAGCTTCAATGGTATCGACAAACCTTTCTTCTTTCTCACTCAAACTTACGTTCATGTTTGATCTCATTTTGGCGAATTGTTGAAGTTCTTCCAAAGTCTGGGAAGGGTCGGTTGACACATACACGTTTGTAAGTTGGGCGACGAAATCTCTCTCTGGTGGAAAATTAGGTACTGCAGAGCTGGAATCATCGATCCTAAAATCTTCTGCGAGTACATGAGTGATTCTGTCGATCAGAAGCTCCAATTGAGAAGCATTTTCGGTAGTCATGACGTTCTGTAGTAGTCGTTCGCCTTGTTGTATCAAGCTGAAAATTCTATTGATTCTTTCACTAACTGTATCTAATTGAGACCTTTGTAGCTCGATCCAATCTTCGACTGTGGGAAAGAGAGATTCAAAGGTGTTGCTAATTTGCTCGCAATTTTTGTTGAGTTCAGTGTTGTTAAGCTTATATTCGTACTTGTCGCTGCGTTCCTTAGGGATTTGAGCTTTGGAAGTGTTGTGTGGAATATGTTCGTAGTTGCTCTTGAGGTTGTGGTATTTATATTGATCGGAGCTACTAGAAATAGAATTTGATCTGGGGTTTTCGTGGTACGCAGAGCTAAGATGTGCTAGTGCGGGACTAAGTGTTTCTATTGGGAGCCTAAGGTTCAGGGCAAGTTAGAGCTTGAAGTCTCCATAAAACCCTAAGTGAGTATCTAGCTTACATGCTTGCCTCGATGGATGTGGTCTCATTGGTACCAGAAGACTCCGGTCCATCGCGGCCAGATGGATGCGATGATGGCGGTGCTGATCCCCTGGTATTCATGTTACGGTTAATCAGATTGTTATTTGGGCTATAAAAAAGATAAGTGAAACTTACGACAGCGTCACTTCAAAGCCCTCACATAGTTTCCCAATTTTGGGCGTCTCAGGTATTCTTTCGTTGCCCTTCTTCGATTCAGCAATCTCTCTGTATGACAATCAGCTTTAGATGCGCGAGCACTCTCCAATTTACCTACTTTTCCATGAAAACAGTTCCTCGACTGTTTCCATTGTGTTCTGTCTGTAGGCAGATTGATCCCATGCCTCTGTCATTGCGTTGGCGCTTTGCTGGCGATACTTGTTTTTTCTCGTTGCTTAGTTTTCTTATTGAAAGTGTCAACGACGTCAAAACGAACTTCAATGCCCCTATCTTGTTTGGAAAATTACCGAATCGATGGAGTAATAATCGAGTTTCTCTCCACCTCGTAATAATTGCGTTTACGAGGACTGTGGGAGGAGCATGGTTCTATGATTTGGTCGTCGACACTATGCAGTTGAGACGATTAGTGGTTTCATTTCAGGTGTATAGACAACAAGGGTTGTTCTAGAAGATCGTTGCACTCACTCCGAATCTTGCAGAATCTCTCTTACGGTGACTATAGGCTCCTTGTTCCTCACCGCAAGGTTCGAGCTCCACTCTGATGTGTCCATTTGTAGCTTATACTTGAATAATAAAGAGTTAATGTAATGGTATACTGTTATAGTAAGCAAATGCAAAGACAAATTCTTGAATTGCCCTTTTGATATCAGGAAGAGAAGTCTCAGGAAGTGGAGATTTTAAGATCAGAAGTCAGGGAAGGTTGATGCTTAACATATCCCGATGCGGAATGGGAGTAGAGAGTCGCTCTTACCCCCTCAGAAAAATAAGATTTAAGCTCCTATCTCAGGTTTATCCATGCTAATTGATCTTGTTCCAATGCTTTACTGGTCTCTCGAAGCTAAAAAGAGGTATGAACTGTCAAGTCTCCCGAAAATTCGAGCTTGTTTCCTAAAAAGCTTGCCATATCACAAATCAACCAGCCACACAACAAGTATTGCGAGACTCTCGTATAATTGAAAATGTAACGATGAATTTTATTAGAGCTACGGATTCTCGGGTTAAGTTCTTATCGCGAAATAACATAAAAAACCCCCCTTCTGTCTGCTCATCGATCAAATATTTGACAGCTCTGCAATTTTCTTCTCTATTCTCGTTGCCAAATCATCATCAACTCTCCTAAAGATCTCTTTAAAACAACATCAGCCTCACATTACTCAACAGCCTACACAAAAAGTCACAAAACTTACCAACAGCCTCCCTTCTAACTCCCTCATGCTTCACATTCGCTAGCTCTCCCGCAACATTGCCCACTAAATTTTCCTGCTGACCTTCCTGTTTTCCCAGAACCTCTCTCCAAAAATTCCGTGGCTGTACAAAATCATCGTCTACAACTTCACTCGTAAATGCCGTAACTTTTCCGCTCCAGATCTCATGTTGAATATTATGCACGGCCTGAGCATTGCGAGTCGCAGGAGCAAGTGGAACGAAGCTTGATCGGACATAATTTGGGTCGGAACCATAGTTACCATTGATTGAAGAGAGACCATCGCGTTGATAGGGTGTATAGACGGGACAATGAGGGGCGTTGGATTGGAGTTGCTGATAATTTGTGCCGAGACGGTAACGAGCGGCATCTGGATATGAGAAAAGACGGGCTTGAAGGACTTTCGAAGGGAATGGTTAGTGATGCTTCTAGATGTAGAGGGGGCGGTAAAGCCTTACCTGGATCTGCGGAGGGTGCAATGCCTGGAACCATATTCGAGGGCGAGAAGGCTGCTTGTTCGATGTCTGCGAAGAAATTGTTCGGCTAATTGTAGATTAGCAAAAATTACAAGTTGAAGGAATGGTATTTCTCACGTTTCTATTTAGGGTCATTTTACCAAAGATTCTTAATGGCACTTCACTATGTGGCCATACTTTGGTCATATCAAACACATCCCAACGAAACGATTCCGCATCTTTTGGATCCATCACTTGAACACTTGCCGTCCAGCTAGGAAACTCTCCACGTTCGATAGCGTTAAAAAGATCCAGCTTATGATGATCCGGATTCGTTCCTGAGAGCTTCTCTGCCACGGCTGCTGTATTGTTCTTTACTCCTTGATCTGAATGGAAGTGGAATCGTACATATTTGAATGTGCCATCTTGCTTAGTAAATTTATAAGTATGGCCACTGTAGGCATTTAGATGTCTCAATGAAGCAGGAGTTCCTCGGTCCGAGAAGATATACATGATTTGATGTATTCCTTCCGGATTGTTGTTGTGGAAATCCCAGAACATGTCAGCATCTGGGGCATTCGTTCGTGGGTGACGTTTGTGTGATCGGTTTAGCGAGGGAAATTTGAGAGGATCGCGAATGAAAAATATAGGAGTGTTATTAAAGACGAAGTCTTGATTTCCCTCCTCGGTATAAAATTTCATGGCGTAGCCTCTCACATCTCGCACAACATCTGAATGTCCTTTCTCTCCTCCCACTGTGGATATGCGCACCATGCAAGGAGTCTTCTTTCCAATGCCATTCAAGAAGGCCGCTGAAGTCAAATCCGAGATGTCGTTAGTAACTTCAAACTCTCCAAAAGCACCAGCAGCTTGAGCATGGACTACTCTAAAATTTGTCAGTGGCTGCCCTCAAAACATTATTTTAAACATACCTCTCTGGAATTCGTTCTCGTGAGAAATGTGCAAGTGTTTCGATTAATTGAGTATCTTGCAATAATACAAGGCCTCCTAGACCGAAAGTGTTTAATCGCAATGAAACTGTCGGATCGGCAACTGGTACTCCTAAGATAGTTCAGAATTTTGTTGTTCAGTACATATATATGGACGAAGTACCTTCGGCTAAAGTGTAAACAGGTCTTTCGGGGGAACCGAGCTGCACGGAATGTCAGTTATGCCCAACATAGATCACCAGACTTCAAACCTTAGATGCCATTATGTGGAATTAATTTTTGTATTACAATGACAGATAGATACTGTGTATGAGCAATATGTATTACAAAGAAAGTTTAAGTAAAATTTGATGGTTCGACTTCATACATAGACAGAGGAGCTAGACATATTTATATCCATTCCATACCCGTCTGAATGCATGCTACCGATCTAAAAATGCGAGATTCGGGAAGTGTCAATGGTGTATCCATGGAAAGTCAAGGTACCGACTGGTCCTTGGTCTTCTTCTGGAATGCGTCATTCAAAAATATGTGTATCGGATGCCGGTCTCTTCTCTACTCGACCAGCAACTGAGGATAACTCGGAAAATAAACGGCTTCTCGTTTGTACCGCATGCTGTAAGCTTCAATTCATGCATATTGTATAAGAAACTTAGACAATGCAGCGAGACGAATAGATACAATTAATAATCAGAAACACGTCGACTAATTAACGGACAACTTTCCATTCTAGGATACTTGGGGAAGAGGCTTCAACAAAGATAGAGTTAGAACAAGTTGCAAAAAGCGGATCCCCTGAAATGGCAGTCAAACATGCCATTCTCGTATTTCTGTTCAATTCCGTGAAAGATTTGCATCGTGGGTATTTTTTCCATTCAATGACGTTCTCCAATAATTCGGCAAGAAATCTACAACATCGGAAAGTCGCCGAGTCGTCAACTTCGGAATTCCTTTCCATTGTGTTTTCCGACTTTTCCCCGAACTGAATCCCAACTGATTGTAACTAAATCTCGATCGAATATCAAAACATTTGTGAACGATTACCAAAATAAGTTCATTGCTTCATGAATGAAATAAGAAGAGCTTCTCTTGCACATCGGAGTGATGTATGATAAAAGAGGTATAATTTGAATACGGATGGTGGGGGCTCGAACGGTTGTGATTGGCTGTTTTCCTCACACTAGCCCTGGCAGTTGCATATTACTAACATGATTTTGCTGACTTAACATAAGAATAGTCTGGGCTGACTGAGGTTCCACTCAGCTTGCAGCCAGCTCTTCCTCTACCTTTCAACAGTCTTTGCGTTGAATGGCCCCGGCTTGCATGCAAGTACGGCTTGTTCGTCCATACCGAACGAGGCCGAAGTTCTGGATCCTTTGTATTGAATCCATCGTTAACCTTCTTGATATCAATCTTTAAGAAAAATGATGGCATTCGGGTTTTCGGCGACAGAGAAGATTCTTCGGGTGGAGATCGCATGTAGTGGGTAAGGTATGCAAGCCTTTTGACTCTACTACTTTTACAGTCTCACTGCAGCATTTCACTACATCGCGTCTGAATTTATGCATGTTTCCATCCATTTTCCGAGGCGAGGGGAATGGAGTCATGGTAATGGAGGAAAAAGATAGATCGTTTTGCAAACAACAACGAGTATACTCCGATACTTGCCACCTTTGCCACCCCTCTCGCTGTCGCTAGCTATGCTGTCATAATGTCTCGTAACACTTCAATGTCCTGATGTCGCAATGAGGGGTTTAGCATGTATATTCTTTCAGGTTTTTACGATCTAAGAATTCACTTAGGTCATGAGAGCCGCGGGAATCAGAGCTTAATAATCAGCCTACTTTGACAGCAATCCTTTCCATACTACCATACAGGGAAAGCGAGGTTAGGGGTGTATGCTTCCCCATATTTTGATTCGGATTACAGCGGGCAAGCATCGGGTATGATCGATTGAGACGTTCGCGAGGTCGAAATTTAGAAGACGTCACAGAATTCACATGGTGAGGCCTTCATCTATTATAGAGATATAAAGCAAGAGTATTTTCCATCCTCAGCTACTCACTTCATCATCCATCTCCAACAATTTAATCATACCCCTCAATCACATAGCTCTAATTTTCAATCCTCTATCATAATATCGTATAGCTAATTTCGAATTTGGATACTCAAAATGGTCGTACCAACTGATAATCACTTCGACTTCATTGTCGTCGGCGGGTAAGCATGCTTCCGTGGTATAGCCACAAGACAAACAATGACATATCAAACAGTGGAACTGGAGGCAACACAGTTGCCGGCCGTCTAGCTGAGAACCCCAACGTGAAGATCCTGATCATCGAAGCCGGCCCCGGACACAACAAAGACATCCCCGAGATCCAAACTCCAGCACGGGCTTTCGAACTCCGTGGAAGTCAATATGACTGGGCTTACAAAACTACCATGATTGACCGCGAAGATTACACACGAGTTGAGAAGCCCAATACTCGTGGAAAGGTCTTGGGAGGTAGCAGTGCTCTTAACTACTACACCTGGATTCGAGGTAGCAAAGCTACTTTTGACGATTGGGAGGAATATGGCGGTCCAAACTGGACTTGGGATAATTGCAAGGAGTATTTTGACAAGCCAGCCAATTACCACGATGACAGTCACCTCTACAATCCAGATTTGGCGAAACACGGTCGTAATGGTCCACTTGATGTTGCCATTTCTGACATGGTGCCTGAGCTCGAGCCATTCCGTAAAGCATTGTCCAGCGCGTGGGTTAGCAAGGGGGGAATCCTCAACGATGAGATCTATGATGGAGAAATGCACGGATTGGCTCGATGCATGAATACTATTTACAAGGGTGTGCGCTCTACATCTGCCCTTTTCCTCGAAGGAAAACCAAATATCACTATTCTCGGCGATACCCACGCCAAACAAATTCTCATCGAAGATGGAGCCGCTACCGGAGTCGTAGTAACTACAGCCGAAGGCGACGAACTAACCATCCGAGCCAAAAAGGAAATAATCATCTCGTCCGGCGTATACGAGACTCCCAAACTCCTCATGTTATCTGGAATTGGTCCCGTCGAAGAGCTTGCTCCCCATGGAATCGACGTCAAGGTCGAATCCCAACACGTTGGAAAGAATCTTCTCGACCACCCCATCATGCCCCACGTTTTCAGACTCAAAGATGGCCTCGGACTCGAAGACCATCTGCTACGAGCCGGTCCCCAACACGATGGTGCTATCAGCGCCTACCAAAAGAACAAGAGTGGTCCATACAGTAGTGGTCTGCTCGAACTCGTCGGATTGCCTCGTATCGACGAATATCTCGCTACAAGCAAAGAGTACGCCGCTGCCAAAAAAGCCAACAACGATATCGACCCTTTTGGACCAGGCGGCCAACCACATTTTGAGATTGATTTCGTGCCCATGTTCAGCGACGCCTTCCAATGGCACATACCCACACCACCTACGGGATCCTGGCTTACGGTTATCGTTGATCTACTCCGTCCTCTCTCGCGCAATGGCTACGTAAAACTCAATTCTACCAATCCTCTTGAGCAGCCAATTATTAACCTCAACTTCTTCTCCAATGATCTGGATCTCGTCGCTCTGCGTGAAGGATGTCGATATGTGGATGACATGCTAATGAACGGCGACGGAATGAAAGATATCATAGGAGAAGATTATCCATGGCCTATGCCCCGAAATAGCGATGAGGCTATGAATAAGATGATTTTAGAGAGAAGTCAGACTGGATTCCGTAAGTTGCATCTCTTATCTAAATCGTTTCCTAAACCTAAAACTAACACTCCACCCTCCAGATCCCTGCGGGACCGCCCGCCTCGGAAAATCCATCGAGCAAGGTGTCGTTGATCACGAACTTAGGGTCTTCGGTGTCAAGAACCTCCGTATCACGGATGCATCCGTCTTCCCCGTCATTCCCGATTGTCGAATTCAGAATGCTGTTTACATGGTTGCTGAAAGGGGTGCTGATTTTATCAAGGCTGTTCATCCGGAGCTGTACCGGTAATTGTTTTTCTTTTAGCCCCATCTTGGAGTAAAAGAGTCAGGTGACGCGACTGAGGAGTACAAGATGTTGCGATGGAAAGCGATGATAGATGTAGCTGATCAACCAATCTTCAATGCGATTTCAACATAATTTTCAAATTTCCCATCGTCCAATATGATGAGATTTCCTTTCTCTTTCTCCTGAAACCCCTTTGGTATGCTTCGCTTAAGACAGCCCCAAAACCCGCGCCTTGATAGCGCATTTAATGTAAGACCATCCCTGTTTCCGGGTGGGAGCTATACTCCAACAGCTCGTTTGGTAATTACATTTTGACATTCAAAGTCAAATGGAATAAAAGCGAGTCTGGAATTCCGCACGCTGACATGTTATCACTTGCCCTCTAATAGCAGCAAACATACCCAGCTATTGTAGGTTGAACAGAGACACACAGCGTGTGACATCTATTTATGATCGATCTCCACCAGAATTTTGGGATAGAAGACTAAACTTTCTACTATCCATATCCTATACCTAGGTAAGATGCGCATCACGAATCAATCATTCATTTATCCCTTCTTCAATCTATCCATAAAATTGTCATTGATTCATCCATCCATTCATTCGTTCATTCGTTCTACTGCTACCTAGATACCAGATTTTCTCCTATCTCACAAGAACCCCCAATCCCAAGTCCACAACCACCTCAATCATCTCAACCTTTCTTTCGGCTTCTCCCCGAGACCTCCACTCCACTCCTCTCCAACCATCTCCATATACAAAAGCTGCATACAAACCAAAACCATTGCCTAATTATATCTCCGCGTATATGCGTATCATTATCGTAAATCTTGTATCCCATTTTAACCTTTCATTTGACAAATAAATCATCCATTCGCTCTTATCCATGTGAAATCCCTTCCCACCCTCCCTCAATGTCCATCTACCCATGCAATGCTGTCATATCATATCATACCATACCATGCGTCTAATAATTTCCTACTACCATGCCAAAACCCAACCGAGCTAGATCTCCCATTCCAAACTTGGAAACAGATCCAAGTTTTTCGTTAATCCTCATACCATGGTCTACCATCCAATCCTATGCTAAATTTTCACTCCCATAAAACATGAATCATTAACTCCCCTCCTCCAATGCCCCCATTTCGCTCATTCATGCTTCCATAGTCCCCTAATGCATCCTCTCCTTCAGCACCACCACCGCAGCCCACCCCTCACAACACCTCGTACTCATTCCGTGACCACACCAAGGACAACTAACCCTCGTGCTAACCACCCCACTAACCCCCAATCCCTCGTCCTTGACCACCGCCTCCGGTTTCGCCATGCACTCATAGAGTTTACTCGGCATATCATGGAAATAGTTGCATCCACAGCAAATAACAAACATTTTTGCCATTGGTTCAATTCCACCTTGTCCATTACTGTGAAGACTCTGAGCTGAAGAGGCTGCGAGTTGGTTGGACATGCGAGGGCCTTTTCTGGGTGGGATCGCGAGACGGGCTGATCGAAGGTATTGGCTGCTATCGTTACTGTTGTCTTTTTCGGAAGAGCTGGAATTGCTGTTAGAATTAGACGATTCGCCTCCGTTAAAAGCAGACGACGACATGAGTGAGTTTTTGGAATCGTTGTATTGCACGTAAGCAGAAGCAGATGCCGATTCTCGTCTTGGCTTTCCCCCGTGTCCGTGCCCATTTCCATCTCCCTTCCCAGGTACGTTCTTTCCCTCACTACCTTGTCGTTTCCCTGGACCTTGTCGTGGACGCAATGGTTGATGTTTGAGCTCTGGTAGAAAATTCAAAGTATGTTGCAGTGCAGTAGTTGATGATGACTTACTCAAACTAAGTCTTCGCTGAAGATCTGTAACTCCCGCATCTGTGTTGGGATCTGCAGAAGCTAGAGACGCATGAAGGCTTGCAGATTGCGAAGTAGAAGTGGCCTGGCCACTTAGTGTGTAAGTATTACCTTCTTCATCTTTGATTTTAACCGGAATCGGAGTTTGATTCCAAGAATCTTGGACTTTGTGATACTTTCGAGATGAGGTATCATGACTGGATGCAATAGGACCCTTCTGCGACTGTGGTCTTGAAACTGCTGGAGTTGTGATGCTGGACTGCTCATCGAAACTTAGATACTCCTCACTTGATCCTGTGTAAGATCTAGAGCTGGATCTTCGGTCCTTCTGGCGACGAGGTGGAGTTGGGTTGACCGTTTGGGCAGAGAGTCTTTGCTGTGGTACAGGATTGATTTCTAGAGGCGACAAAGCGGTAGGAGATGAGTATTCGGGTTCTGACACTCTCCGAGCAGATTGACTTGGTAATGCAGATCTGCTGTCGAAGCCAGCGGCACGTGGCGAAAGAGTAGATTGCGGACGTAACTTTTTAAGAGGCTCATCCAAATGAGAAGTCTGTAGAGAAGGCGAGTCCGGGGCAGATGAATATCTATGACTCGCATTCGCTGTACCATTCTTGGCTCCTTTGGGTTGGAGTGATAATGGGCTCGGATAAAAAGATGGGACTGGCAATTCGCGCCTAGAGAACATACCCTCTTCTGGTTGAATACTGCTCTGGGATGGTTGCGCAGTGAGCCTGAAACCTGAAGGAGCGCCTTCACCGTCTATGAATGCCCGAAAATCTTCCTCATTCTCCACCACTTCCGCATTTTCTCTAGCTCGAGAAACTGACCTACTAAGTCCAGTCGCATTATGAATTGACGGTGTTCTTCTCATGACTTCCTTTATCGGATCGGCGTCCAATTTGATATCATGGGTTGGGCTGCTTAGATCTCGTTGTTTGCCGTGGTGTTTTTGCTGTGGAAAGTATTCGTTGTTTTCAGAATTGGTATCTTCAGGAGATATATCAAAATTCTGAGGATACAAAGGTTCTTGTACTTTTTGAGTTGATGGTGGGGTTTTTTCCAAGCCAAATCTAAAGCCTGGAGATGGCGGAGCAGCATGCGGCGATTGAGGCTTATGATTAGCCTTATAATTCACTGTCGAGTCTGTAACGTGATCCAATCTCAAATTTTCGTTCGGTTTCCGGGCTCGAGGATTTCTATTCATGATTGGTTCTATATCACTAGCGGGCTGTTCACTGGCTTCTGGCCCTTTCAGAATATGGGGGCTATAAGAGTCCTCACTTTGGGATTTTGTTGGGACTTCGACAGCAGGTGCACCTGTTCCAAAAGGAGCCAACAAGTCCAATGTGCGATATCGAGAATTTTCAAGTGATATGGGTGGTCGACTCTGACTAGGTTTGTTACTGTGACTAGCTGGTCTGTTATTTGACGATTTCCCGTCTCGGAGTTCGTTTAGGGCCGCCGCTTCACTCGATTGTTGCAATTTTAAGCCTCCAATGAATCCGGTCGATGTTGGAGAACTCGAGGTTGATTGATTTCTTGGCGTTGCATCCGCAGAAATGCTTGTGGATCTGGATCTGGATCTGAAAGAAGACATAAGTTTCTTGAGACCAAGATCCAAACTCGTTCGCCTTGATCGTCTACCATCATCGGGATCTGGACTCAATTGTATTATTTCCTGCGCAACTTGTACGACGGGTTCAGAGTTGGCTCGACCCACTGGAACTGCGGGCATCGTTTTACTTAGGCGCTTGTTGGTTGGAGGAGCCTTGCTCAATCGACCTTTTTGTTTTTGTGCCGCGGCTCGGGTCTCCCTTTCGGCCTTTTCTTTCTCTTTTTTCAACCGCTCTTCTTCCTTCTTGCGCATATCTTGAGCTTCTTTCTTTGCCATTCTTCTTTGCTTGCCGTCACCACCATCCCAAGCCGGCGACCGACATATTGAGGATGCATCGGAATCGTCTGCATCTACATCTGCAACAATTGGCGGGGACTTTTCCTTTACCGGCTCAACCACAAATACCTTTTTAGATGCTTTGGGTGCTGTTTTGGGGGTTTCGAATATCTGCGCAGGAGGCACCGCAACGGATAATGTTGGAGCGGTCATTGCTCGATCTGGTTGTCTGAATGGGACAGGACGTTCGGGAGGGAAGTTGGTATATACATTAGAATTGCTCGGACGCCTCTCGCGAAAAAAGCTGTTACGCAGCGGTTGACTGACTGTCGCTGTCGAGGCTTGCATGCGCTGCAGCTAATTTATGTATGTTAGGCAATAATACTTGGCTATGTGAGATATTCTTTTGCGTACCTTGCTCCTATTCTCCAACTCGAGCATACGTTCAAGTGTGTTTCTCCGTACTGGTTCCGAGCGGCCATGTTTCGCCTTCTCCCTGGAATTCATTTCGAGATTGTACCTGAATTAAAATGTGATAGATGATCAATTAAAATACAGGGTCAATGGAGTACTTGACACATTTGAGCGTTTCGGCGCAGCTCTCATCAAATGACTCTGAGCAGTGAATGCTGGTATCGGATTATGATATGGTGATTGTGAGGGTATCTAGTAATAAGTAGAGAAGAGCAATTGATATAAAGCAATGAGATTGTCGAAGAATTATCTTCTTCTCCTTCTTTTTTCCCACAATATAATCGTAAAAGCGAATTCACAGAATAGTACCAGGAATATCAAGATCAAGTGGAAATCAAAAGCGAAACAGAAAGTCTACTGCTGATGCAATAGTAGTGGAGAGTAGAGAAAGCCGATGCTATCTCGTGATGGATGGATGTTATGTTTTGTTGGTGATGTGATATGATACGATATGATCAAGAACACACATCGCAACTGTAGCTGGATAGAAAAAAGATGTAAATAAAGAAAAGCCCCTGCTTGACAAATAGCAGTAATACTTTGCAGATTCTCTGGGTGCTCCAGATCGATAGGATTTAACAGGTTCTCTTCCCTATTCTGTCTCTTTGGGTCTCTTTCTCTCCCCACCCCTAGACAGATTGGTAAAATGAAGTGGTAACAGGTAATGAGGTAACATGTGTTAACAAATGAACAAATGATGAAAGAATCTCACAGTCTCACAGTTTGAAAAAAACCTTGTCTCTCATCGATGCTTTTCGCTCGTGTTATGTCTTGGCGCAGGTGCTGAA